CAGAACCATGACAAAATAGATCAAGGACCTTACAAATGTTATTACTAGCATTAGAAGTCAGGACCACTGCTAAATTGTTTATAATTTTGTATCCTCAGTAAATATGTATATGACCATGTTGTTTTAATGTACATTTTTATTCTGTCCCTTTTTTGAAATCTGCTAGGGATGCAAGTGGTTGATTTTGATAGCCCTAATAATCCCTTCCAATCTAAGATTCCACATAGAAAGTTAAACTCATCTCTTTAGGATCCAATTCACAGATCATGCTAGTCCAAGACTTGCTTAATTATGGCTTACCATAATTAAGCCACAATTAGCTGAGTTCCCTCAAGTCCTAAGCCATGTTTTACAAAATTAAATGGGCCAATCACCGTCTGCATCCTCTGCCTTTTCTCCTTTCTTTTAATCTCCATTGCAGCAACCCTGCGAGGCAGGCTGGACTTCAGTGGCTAAGGATTTACCGGACCCTCCCTGGGGTCTCCAGTTGTGGCCTTAGCTAAAGCCCCTCCCCCACTATGGTTTAGCATGGGGCAGACGGTGAGCTGGATGGAGTATAACTGACGCATTTTGTTCCTTATGGAGGAATATTTGTGCTAAAATACTGAGGGTTTTTGATTTAGAGGGATGAGGGATGAGACTGAATGCCCTTGGCTGAACTTGAATGCTTTTTCCTCTCTCTCTCAGAAATTTGGGACAGTTAAATGACAGAACCTTTCAGTCAGAAGAGAATGTTGGCTGCTTTCTTTAAAATGCCAACCTTTTGATATGCAGAAGTATTAAACAGATGAAAAACTATTGCTAGGCAGCAAATGCCCTGTACAGATGCACTCTGTGTCACCTCAGGCCTAAACCATTTGGCATATGTACACAGTTGTTTTTCAGAATTCAGAAAGCTTTTAAATTACAATTCAACACTGTTGCATAGATTATCCAGATTAAAATACACACAAGTCAGTTGATGAAATGTTAAGAAATGCTGGTCTTTCTTGGGAGAAAAACAAAAGCAGGGTGAATTTACTGGCACTGGCATATATATATATATATATATATATATATATATAAAGATATGTCAGTCTTCCTCCCCTTAGCCATTTCTAATGTTAGTGTATAAAGCTCATTGGCTCTATGCATTCTATGAAATCGAAGTGCAATTTCCTTATGGGGGAATAACCCCAATTTTGCACTTCGAGGTTTGGCCTAATGGCAATTTTCATGTGGTCCATTCTTCAGGGTTTGGGATGACTTCGAGATGGGGAAATGGGGTGACTTGTTTTTAGAGGCCCCCTGTTCTTTTCTCCAGCTTTAATATCTATTCCCATCAGTTCACATGGCTTCTGGTGATAAGGAAAGTTTGAAGTTGGTTTTTAAACTTTACTCCTTTCCACTTCTGGTCATAGTGGTTTAGTCACATCAAAAGAACATCTGGTTCCTTTAGATGATCCCTTCCAGAGACTTATCTTCAATCAGTTGATATAAATTTTATTTTATTTTATTTTATTTATTTATTTATTTATTTATTTATTTATGTGATTTATTTATGTGATTTATGTAATATTATGTAATATTTATATAAATATATTTATAATATAAATGTATTTATATTATAAATATTTATATTTATGTAATTTATATGTAGGCACTTTTATGTGCTTTTCTGAAGTGTAACCTTTGGTTATAGATATATTTTTAGCAAGTGAGGGCTTGTGTGGACAAGATATGTTGTGAGGGATCAAAACTTTTCTGCTCTTAACGCATCCTTTTGTGAGAGATGCAATTGCATCTATTAATTCAATTCAATTAAATCTGTTTATTACAGCCATAAGGCCACATACAGTAAAATATCTTAATAGTATCACTGTTACATCTTTTTCCCTCTCTCCTCTCTCCCTCTCTCTCCAAAAAACAAAGAAGATAATAGCATCTAAAAATCAATAATCTAAAACGATAGCAGTTTTTTAACCCATATTCTTTTCTAGGGTTTTTGTCATATTATTTTGTAGGAGGATTATTTTTATGGTATATTGTTGTAAGTGATGATTTTGAAATAGTTATAGTATACCTTTATAGGATATTAATGGCTGATCCAAAGGTTTATTGGGGTGAATGTGATGTTCTTGTTTGGTCATTGTTCCTGCACTGGTGGTGGTGTTTTTTTAAAAAAATTGGTTTGGTTTACCTATGCAACAAGTAGCTTGTTTTTAATTGGTATGTGTACTCTTCGATTAGGACTTAGTATTGTGTGTTTCTCTCCATAGATGGAGATTTTTTAAGCTAATAATTGAAATATTTTGTTATTTATAGTTTATTTGAAGTGTGGGGAGGGAGGGAGAAGAAAAAGCTGCATTGGTTTTACACAGAGAATCCTGCAAAAAAAAAAAATTGCTGGGAACTAATTTACAGGGAAGAAAACTGTGTGGATTCCACAAAAAAGGCTTGATGGCTTTAATTTCAATTTATTGGCAAGTAAAGTGGAGAAAATCAAAAGTAACTGTTAGAGTAATTACTGACTGTCACTGTACCAGCATAAGTTTTCATAATTTTGCTTCAATGTTACCCTGTACAAGAATCTTATGATGTCTACCTTTATAAATTTGATATGAAAGAGTCACTAAACATTATATCTAAAAAGGGAAAATAAAATAAAACTTTTCAGCAACAATTAAAATGTACAATTTTAAATCATGGTTCATTTAAGTGTTAAGACAGAAACAATTAGCTTGGGAATCAACCCTAGGCTGCTCTTCGTACATCTTGCAATAATATTTATATATTAATTTTGTAAATATCTGTGTTCGCTTTATATTTTAAAGCTGTAGAAATGAGTTTTGAAGAAATGAAATTAATAGTTTAAAAAGAAAGTTTGGTGGAATGGCAGTATGCTTATAAGCCATGGGCGAATGGGCGGCAATATAAATCTAATAAATAAATTAAATAAATACACCTTCTTTTATGGTTATTTTTACATGATAGATTTCCTAAGAAGTTTATACAGGAAAGCTATACTTTCCCTGTATAGGCATGACATTTTTATGTAATCATAAATGGGAGGGCATATAAGCCTTACTGTTCTGTCCCCCGTCCTCACACAGACAAATGCAATATCAAACATGCCTGCCAATAATTCATTGTATAAACAGATCAAAATTCCTGGCAGACGAGAGTTCTGGCAGCTAACTGTAAAAAGCCTGCCAAGTCCAATTAGTACTCCCAAAAAACAGGAGAGGCCTTATCTGCAGTCCGTTTCCAGAGCGACAAATTATCCACAAGAGTTTAGTCCAAAATATATCTGAGCCGAAGTGCAGGATTCACGATGTGACTCTTTAGAGTTTAAACTTTTGTCCGTCTCAAAGCCTGCTGAGCAATCACGCCCCCTTTTATCCCTTGTGGGGCATGGCTCAATGACTCAGCTCAATCCCTGGCCCTCCCACGCCTCTTCCTTCGCTGCGCACGCTTCTCCTTCCGATGCTGCCTGGGATCAAGCCAGGATTCATCATTATCACTCTCTATCAATGGGTGCTCCGAAATGCCTTCCTCCTGGCCCATCCCAGGCTGTTCCTCCTGGCCTTCGGATGGAACCTGAGGCATTGCCAGAGAGGAGGGTCCTGGAGAGGGAGGCCTTGTCAGTTCCTCCCCCTCACCTTCTGAGTCCTCTTCCTCCATGAGGAGGAATTTGGAAGCTTTTCAGTAGCGATCCATTGTCATAAGGATTTTGCCAGCTGAAAATATTAACCAGTTAAAATAATTTACTTTGGCATTTGGACAAATCCAACATAGTACTGTAGGTTCCTAATATTTATACAATAAAAGCAATTCATTTCTGATGAAGCTCTTGATTAAAAATTATTGCAGGGTCACTTTATTTTTATTATTCTCAGAGCAGAGAAATTTTAATAGGTTAAATGTCATGAGTAACATATTTTTAAATTAATGTGCAGCAGGGAATAATGTCTGTAGACATCAGGACTTTTAATAGTTGATGCTGAAAACTGAAACACATAACTCAAAGCAGAGTAGAAGAGTTAAGGAACAAACTATTTTTCAGAGAGAGAGAGAGAGCCATTCAGCACACTCTGCTGAAGAGAGCGGAATTTCACTCTGACATTTTTCCAAAATAGTGGCAGCGCACACATTAGAATTAAAAGTTGAGTCTTTTATTGATTTTTGCTTTATGCACATTACTATCATTTTACCTGACATATATTCAGGGATAAAAAGCTTGACTTTTGATACGTTCCTTGTGCAATGTTGAGTTTCTGAAATATTACAGGCATGCACAAATTATGATCATCAAGTCAGATGTAGCTTGAAAAAATGTGCCTGGTCCTAAAACTAGACAGCCACTTCAGTCCTTGGTTAGTGGGATTCATTTGACTTTTGAATTATATATTCATACCTTTACCATGTGTAATGCCTGGGTAAAAGGTTGGACAAAAATTGTCCAAAGTGGGTATTCAGTTTAGTCTTTTGCTCCATTATGTAATCTCTTCAAGAACTTTTAAACAGTGGAAGAATTTCTCTGCCTGCTGAAGTCATGAGGGTCTCATTCACCGAGGGTTTTGAAGTGAAGGTTGGAAAGCCATTGGCCTGGGATAGTGTGAGATTTTCCTGGTCTTGAAGACTTTCAAGATTCCTTCCAATCTAGGATTCTTTGAAGATGAGAATTTTCTCAGGTTAGATAATATTCAACTGTTTTGGATTTTTGCTGGTCCTATTAATAAACATACTATAGTGAAAATCAGAAATATAGCCAATATAACAATCACCGCTAATAAAATTCAGCCCCAGCAGGAAATGTCATATATAATTTTGCATCACCTACCTGTCACCTATCACCTATACTCTCAATTTGGAAAATGGCCTCTGCATGTGAAGGATGGGAAATGAGAAGGACATCTTTATTTGAATTACAACATTGGATTCATTTTCTTGTTTTGGTTTCTAATATTCAGATGTCATTGCATTGGGTTAACTTTGCTTATATTATGATATCTTTACAGATCTGCTCCACCGGATGGCAGTGATCACCCAAAGCAACAGGGCAAGCCTCCAGCTCCTCAGAGCAAGCTACCAGATCCTGGGCGCCCTACGCTAAGTAAAAGCAAAACAGTTGATACCCTGAAAACAGAGCAACAGGTCCCTGGAAGAAGCACATCATCCATGAGTTTGAGAGAGTCTAAATCAAAGACTGATTTAAAAGATGACCAGAAGCCAGCTATGATGCCCAGCTTTCTCTCAGATGCCAACCCATTTGGCGCAGTCACATCAGTTGTAAATAAATTCAATCCTTTTGGTTTGATATCTGACTCAGATACAAACCAGAATGAAGGCTCCAAGAAAGTGAAGCCCACCCAAAAGGATCAGGATAGATCTGAGCAACAAGAGGGACTCTCCAAGCAACCTCTGCAGCATTCATCTCCCAAGCCAAGCAGTCCACAACATGGGCCCATCAAACCGGCCCCACAAAAAGCACGACCTCCCAAGCAGATGCCACAGCAGCAACTACAATCTGGAATCCCTAAGCAAAGCCAGAAACCAGGCTCTGGCCAAACAGCAGAAGAAGCAAAACAGTGTCCAGGACCACCCACCTCTCCGATCCCAAAACAAGAATCTACGAAACCTGCAAAATCTTCCCCACAACAGTTGGGAACTGAAAAGCCTCCTAGTGTGGGCCTTGCTAAAACAGCCTCCCAGTCCCCTGTTCTCAAAAAACCAACACCCCAGCAGGGAGCGCCTCCTTCTAAGCAGAAAGCTCAGCAGCCGGAAGGTCCTGCAAAGGCTGAACCAGCAGCCTCCAGTAAGCAACCATTGCAACGTTTGGCTGGTCCCGCAAAATCAGCCCTTCCCCAGCCTGGAGGACCTGGAAAGCAACCCTCTCAGCAGCCTGGGCTCCCCGCGAAGCCTCCCACCCAACAGGCTGAGCCTACCGTTCAATCCCAGCAACAGGCGGGGCTGACAAAAACTGACCATCCACCTTCCTGGCCTTCCCAGCAGCAACATGGGATTCCCTCACAACCCGGATTACAAGACACACAAAAAAAGTTTTGCCCACTTTGCACAAACACTGAACTCCTCCTGCACATTCCTGAGAAGGCCAATTATAACACCTGCACCCAGTGTCAAACTGTAGTCTGCAGTTTATGCGGCTTTGATCCTAATCCTCATATAACAGAGGTAAGTACGGTACATTTAAGATATAAATGTATGGTCCCATTAAAAAAAACACATTATTGAAAGGAAGCTAAATTTCAGACAAGCTGAGAACTGAGAATGTCATGGAAGTTTTTTCAGGGTTTCTCCATAACAAGACTGATCATGGCAAGCTGCCTAAAATTGCTGTCATTATTTCGAACAAATCTCTTAAAGCATCTCTATGTATCATCACTATCAAAATTCACATCAGTTTTCTTCACCCAAGCAAATTGCACATCAAATCTGCATCCCTAAAGATAGCAAATTCAGATCTTCATCAGCACCAGTATTAATGTTGCCTGGCAACCACGACTTGCTGGTGTAACAGAGTCATATGATTTGAGACGTTTTCTAGGGAATACACTGGCAGGAAGTGTAGCTGATTCCATTTTAGGTCAGACAGGTTAATCCACTCTCAGAAGGCCATAATATTATACTTTATCTGACACAACAGAAGATAAATGTCCTTTGGAACTATATTTGGTATATACTCTGATTAGATTTTTTTTTCTAATTTTCCATGTGCAAAAAGGGGTAACAAGAGGAGGCGATGTGATGCCCTTTCGGTTAGAACTTGCACAAGCACTTACCTGTTGTGGTAGCTAGCCTAATGGGAATTCAGTGTATATGTGTATACACACATACATACAAAAAAACCTCAACTGACGTCTGATATGTATATGGGGTGTACACGGTGCTTCTTTATGCATATAAATAAAGTTAAAATAATGCATTTTGCTTCAATAATCTTTAGAATTTGAACTCCTCAGTTCTCCCACAGAAGTATTTGAAAGAAATTATATGCCAAAAGTGAAGAGTTTACTGGGATTTTTTTATGAGGCTGATGTCCCAAATCTTGAATCAATATTGCTTTACTTACAAGTTTCTTGTGTATATTAAATTACTAACTTTCTTACAAGTTCATTTAAAAATCAGAAACAGATGCTGCAAGCCTTCAAAAAATGAAGTATGCGTGTAGCTTAAGTTTCAGTGAGTTCCTGATTGTAAAATGGAAAAGCTACTTGATGTGTACATTTCTGCCCCCTAAGCCAGTAGAGCATGCTGCCACATGAAATGTATAAATTAAGTAATGTTGCAAAAGTATAACATTTTAAATAGTATAAGACAGGTCTCCTTGGCTAGGCTGAATTGCTGTAACTGACTGTGGTATCATGACCTAATTTCTTCCACTGGGGTTTTCTTGCTCTGCTGTAACTACAAAGCTCTGCATAATGAACCAAAAATTTAGGGAGTCTCCAATTGCAGACAGATTCTTCGGAGTGCTGAAAATCTCACTGCCTAAGCAAACATTACAAGGTTCACATTTCTACTTCTGACCTATGTCCCGTTCATTTATCTTCACCCTCACATCTAAAAAGGAAACAGGTCATTGCATTCGATTTCTCCCTCGTGCCCGCCAATCTCAACCTCCCCTTTGAAGGGTTGTGGACCTGCCGAACCAGATTAATATAATCTAGTTACATCATTTATCTTGCATTAATAGTTACTAGGAAATTGCAGTTCTGTGGAAGCTCTAGGTCTCATGGATATCTTGCATACACAGTGCATTAATTGTGAAGGTGAAGAGATAATAGGGACTTTGAGTTGAGCCCTAAGAAACTGCTTTGGACTCCACCTTTCCGACTCTTTGTTTTAATGATAAATATATTTATAAAATTTCTGTCATACTTCTATCTAAAGATAGAAGATATTCAGTATTTTTGGTTTGAAATCTAATTGATAAAATATTGTTAATATAGCTAAGAAATTATTACAAAGTTTTGATATATTTATCTTTAAATATAGATTTTTTTTTTCTTCAAAGTTATTTGCTGGTGATTCAATGAAGCTAGGGATCTAGTGAGAATCTACTGGATACAGTTTTCAAGTGTTTTGTGGTAAACCTGGTACCTAACAATGGGAACTGAATCAGTTTCTCATTCGTTAAGTATATTTCTGTACTCCAGTGGTCTATAATAATGAAAATTAACATTATCACATGGTCAGAAGCATTAATAAAAATAAAAGTAAAGCTTATCATATAGCTGGAAGTGACTTCATGGGTTGTCCAGTCCAACCCACTGATCTGTGCTAAAGCATTTCAGACAAATTGCTATTCAGTCTTTCCTGAGGCGACCTGGTTGACAGTGCATAAAGTCAGAAATTTCCTCCTAATTTTTGTTCACATGCACTGCTCCACAATTTCAACCCATCACAATAAGCCTCGTCAATCGCAGGAAATCAACTCTTCCCTTTACATGGCAGTTGCTTTAAATATCCAAGATTCTTGTCCTGTTTCCCTTCATCCGTTTCTTCTGCCTTTGCTTATCCCTTCCTCTGAGTCCTAGGTTACCAGTCCTGTCGTCCCGTTGGGAACTTCTCTGGCCAGGTGAAGCCATCTTAAATCTCATAATAACCTTAAAAGTCTTGACTCAGATTATGGATGGTACATCAACAGTGGAATTGAAAGATTGTTATGATTTTCCAGTCATAATAACAAAATGTTTTCTTCAAACCATTTTGACTTTAAAAAATGTTTCCAAATGATTCTATTTCCACCAAAAAAGTTAACATGGACCATGCGTTTGCACTCAACCAGCACAAATATAACAAGGTAATAAATTAAATGTAGTTTTGATGCTTTTAAAGACGTGATTTAGAAAACAGATCAGAAATGGTAAGGTATCATAAAGTAGCTAATGGTCACAGGACTTGTGAGAGAACTCTTTTATTGAAATGTATCTGAAATTTAAGAAGGGAAAGTAAGAAAGTAATAAGAAAGCAAAAAATAAACCCAGTCAGTCCCTTCAAATAATGTAAAGTGAATCTTTTGGTACCATGGATATAATTCTGTCTTGATGTTTTGTTTTGTTTTTTAATTATGCATACAGATTAAAGAATGGTTATGTTTAACCTGCCAGATGCAAAGAGCTTTAGGTGGGGACTTAGCTCCTGCTCACGGCTCTGGACCTTCAGTACCCAAGCAAGAAACTTCAGCCAAAGCAGCTTCTCAACCACAGCCAGCTATGAAGAAGAAAGAAACTGCTCTAAAACATGATGTGACCAAGTCCTTGGAGCAGAAAAAGCCACCAATGCAAACAAAGCAGGCTACTCTGCCCAGTTCTTCTCCTGCAAAAGCAGAGGCTCTTCCTGCTGAACCCAAGCTGGCAGAATCTACCCTGAAGTCCATCCAGGCCAAGCTGTCAGGAAGTGAGGATAAACAGAGGCAGTCTAGTCCTCAGAAACTTACAAGTGATGCCGCAACTAAACCTTCACAATTGGATTCCAAACAAAATGGCTCCAAGCCTTTACTCACTCAACGTAAAGCAGAACACCTTCAGAGGTCAGAAGATGACAACCTACCACAGGACCAACATGCACCTGTTGATATAATTGCTGCTCCAGATTGCAAAACTTTATCTCAAGTGTCTTCTCAAAAGTCTGAAACAAAACTTAGCGCTCAGCTTGAAACCGATTTAAATGCTAAGGTCCAAATGGAAGCTGAAACAGCAGGAGTAAAGGAATCTTCTATGAAAATCCAGCCCCAGTTGAATCCCAAACCAGATGCCAAATCGACTCCAAAAGGTCAACAAGCCTCAATGGGCGCGAAGCCCAGCCAAGCCCGACCTCAGGTTCAAGCCCAACTGCCTCCAAAAGCACCGGAACAAGCCAAGCGTTTTGGCATTCATGCAGGAGGTGATGCTCCCAAGTCACTTCCTGCAGCTCCTCCAGAAACGGTTACCGGAAAGCTGTTTGGATTTGGGGCTTCGATTTTCAGCCAGGCTTCCAATTTGATCACCACATCAGGCCAGCCAGGAGCTCAGGCACCGGGACCTACCCCTTTGACCCCCTCCAAGCAGCCCCCTCCCCCTGTCCTGCAAAAAGACCCCCCTCCACCATCTCCTAAGGGGGCGCCTGCAAAGAAGGAAGCAAAGCCTCCTGTGACAGAAAAAACCTCTCAAAAGGAAGCCAGCCAGCCAGAGACTGAGAAGAAGCTGTTGCCTGCCCGGGCCTCCCAGGCGCCTGATGGGGCTGGGACAGAAAAGGGGGCGGGGCCACCGGAAGCACCCCAAGGGCCCCCACCGGCCTCCCTGTGTCCTCTCTGCAAAACTGGCCTGAATGTGGGGTCTATAGACACTCCAAATTACAACAGGTGCACAGAGTGCAGGATTGTGGTATGCAGCCTTTGTGGCTTTAATCCCACGCCCCACATCACAGAGGTAGGTAGGCGCAGCTCTCTTTTGCTCCAGTGTTGTTGTGATGAGTTGCTTTTTTCCCCCCACAATCCATGCATATCAATTATTTGACCCCTTCCTAGTCTGAGGAAAATGACTCGGGTGGTTTGGTTAAAAGTTTATTGTGTATCATATGCAGTGCTTTTTTTCCCCCTAGCATTCATTCCCTATATTGCTTATATTTGAACAATGGAGCAAGTTTTAAGAAATTCATTGTCTTGGAATAAATTGCTGATGCTTTATATATTATATAAACTATAGTTTATAGTGTTGGAAAGGAAAGAGGAGCAAAGACCCCACAGTGAAAGCTACTTTTCGTTCGTTAAGAGAATTGTTAACCCAAGACCGAGGTGAATTTAAGCCACCTTGCACTTAGGCCGAAATCATAGCGCAACCTACCTTCCTATTTTGGGTAACCATCAGTAATATTGGAAGAGAGTGCTCAAATGCCTTAGAAAAGATTCTTCTTGGATATTTAATATCAAATACCCAGATACTAAAGGGATGCCATGCAAGTAAACGCAACCAGTCTTATTCTAGGTTTTTGTCAGTAATCTGCAGCACTGAAATGCTAAGAACCCACTTGCTATTTATAGACTTGTTGAAACTCACAGATGCTTGCTGAATCATGTAGCTGAGGGAAGATCAGTCTTTCATAGTTCTCTGCACTTTATGTTCTGCCTCTGTTAAAAGCTTGTGGTAGATCTCTTGATGGATTTATTTCATTATCATAAAAGATAATTGGACATGTAAATTGTGACTTAACCTTGTTTCCTCATAAAAATGGTCTTCCAGCTGGCACTTAGTAAGGATGCACATGAAATTTGGGAGGAATTCTTCGAAGCTTTGAGCATTGGTGAGTCTTTGTGGTACTGGAAAGAGCTGACTGCAGCCACCAAAATTCTCTGGCTGGACTGGAGCTGCTGCTGGCCCATCCGTCTCTGGCCGTTTTTTTTCTCACAGAATTCTTCTGGGGAGATAAAAAAAAAAAAAAAAGAGGAGATTACCAAACATTTAAGTTCCTGGAGGAAAAGTAGGCTCATGAATGAAGGGGAAGCAACACAGGTGGATGTTCCTGGCTAGCCTTGGAGAGTTGATGGTTGTGGCTGAACTCGAGTTGACAAACCTTTGATTCACCAAAGGGACATCTGCTCCTCTCTGCACTTAAAAAAAAAGGCTATTGCCCCTACAGCTGTGCACATGGTTACAAGACCCTCTGCTCAGTTTCCAGACCTTATGTGTGCAGGGAATATTTATCTCAGTAGTTCTTCTTGCCTCCAATGTAGTAGTGGGTGTAGTTGGGTCCTCACAGGAAAAAGCATAGTTCAGGAACTATTTATTTATTCATCATATTTACATAGTTGCTCATCTCACAAAATGCAACTCTAACCAGTGCACAATTAAAAAAAATAATAATATAAAAAACAAATCAGTTTAAAAATTAATATTATAATTTTAAAAAGGCGATGAGAGAATGACAGATATTAATAACAGTGGAGCCACCTCAACAACTCACCATTCCCATAGGGCCCTCAAGCCTGATGACATAGCCGTTGGCCCGCTTCTGGTTTCAATTATACATTCCACACACAGTTGCCATGGAAATTAGCAATTTACTCAAGGTTGAGGAGATAACAACAGATGAGGAATGAAAACCAAAACAGATTCTCTGAAAGAAGCATGCCTGAGTGGTTTGCTTTTAATAGGAGCATGCAGAAGACTACTCAAAATCCAGTCCAGAGTTGTAAGATATAGGTCAGGGTGTCAGAGTATTTAAGTCTAGGTCAGAGGACAGAAATTCACAATTCACCAACATTACACAAGAGGTAGATATTATACAGTTGATTTCAACAAGAAATTGTTGAATGTCTTGCCAGAAGGCAAGACAAGAACCAATGGATGGAAACTAATCATATTAACTCATATTCTCCTATCTTGTCTATCAATATAATTGCTGTTTCTAATGGATCTTCAAGAATAAAAACCAGGTCATCTGCGAATGCTTGCAATTTGTATTCTTCCTTTTGAATTTTCATTCCTTTTATATCTTTTTCTTCCCTAATATTTCTGTTTAACACTTCTAATCTTAACACAAACAACAGAGGTGACAGTGGACAACCTTGTCTCGTTCCTTTTTTTATTTCAATATACTCTGTCAATTCTCCATTTATCATTACGTTTGCTGTTTTTTTGTGATATATAGCTTCTATGGCTTGAATAAATTTTCTACCAAAGCCCATCTGCTCCAGCTGTAATAACATAAATCGCCAATTCACATTATTGAAGGCTTTCTCTGCATCTAGAAATATCAAAGCCATTTGTTTTTCAGGATGTGCCTCATAATATTCCAAAGTGTCCAGAATTATCCTCATATTATCTTTAATCTGTCTTTTTGGCAGAAATCCATTTTGATCAGGATATATGAAATTATTTAGATATATTTCTGCCAGTATTGAAGTGAAGATTTTATAGTCTGAATTTAGCAGGGATATAGGCCTATAATTCTTGATTTGTTGTGGGTCGGTATCCTCCTTTGGAACAAGTGTAATATATGCTTCATGACTTCTAACAATGGGAGGCTCAACGATTCCTGTAGTGTCTTGTAATATTCCGCTAGCAGTCCATCCGGGCCTGGTGCCTTCCCATTCTTTTGTTTTTTTAAGTGCTTCAGTTAATTCCATCATCGTTATATTTCCTTCTAACATCATTTTGGTGTCTTTAGAAATCTGGGATAGATTCGCTTTCTGCAGGTATTGTTTAACACTTTCCTTCCATCACTGGAGGTTTTCAAGAAGAGACTGGATTTGTCTGAAATGGCATAGATTCTCTTGCTTGTGCAGGGAGTTGGATTAGATGACCTCCAAGGTCCCTCCCAACTCTGTTATTCTATGTTCTACATTTATATTTGTGTGTGCGTAAATTCATTCTGACGAGACCATGGGTCAAAGCTGTCTCTTAAATGAGGCTGCAGCCAGCTACTTTTAATCAAGGAATTTACTGTACGTCCTAACTTGGCAAAGAACCTCATAGAATTTCTTTGCTCTGCTCTTTGCTATGGTCACTCGGTGCTGGGGCTGCAATAAGGGCAGAGAAGTATTGTTGGTTCTTTGCCTTATTGCCACAAGGTAGGCTTTGATAGCGGCTTTAATGCATTTCCAGTCGAATCCCAACCGACACTCTAGATGTCTCCCATTTCATTTTTCTCAACTCCTCCATAAACCTTGGGAAATGATGGCATCCACGAGAGGGTCACGTAGGCACAATCCAACCCAGAGCCTCAGCTGTCCTCTTCTTCCAAGTGCCACCAGGACTTCGAATGGACAGTGCAGCAGCAGGAATAACCCGCAGCTCTCTCTGGGTTTCCTCTGGCTCCGTCTGTGGCTGAGTTCCATATACTCCTCTCGAAGTATAGGAAGGGTGCAGTCTGTCAGGGTCAGGCCCAGCGATGAGACAGAGAGATCCAGTTGAGTCCAATCCTTTATTTCCTTATACCTTGGCAAACTGGAGCCAAACCTTCTAACCTACTAGACCAGCGATGGCGAACTTTTTCGGCACCGAGTGCCCAAATCGGAATGCACCCGTGTGTGCATGCACACACCAGAGCATTGGAAATCCAAAGACCAGCTGGCCAGTGCACCTGCGTGCGCTGGCTAGATAATCTTCGGGTTTCTGGTGTGCACATGCATGCCGCCCAGCTGGTTTTTGGCTGTGCCGGAGCGCCGGAAACCCGAAGTCCAGCTGGTCTTTGAGTTTCTGGCACTCCAGTGCAGCCAAAGACCAGCTGGCACACCGGAAACCAAAAGAGCAGCTGATGACAGTGCACATGCCCACAGATAGGGCTCTGTGTGCCACCTCTGGCACGCGTGCCATAGGTTTGCCATCATGGTACTAAACATATCCTGAGAGTTTCTAGGGTGTGGCTATCCTGGACCTCTTCCTCTCTTTCCCATGCAACTCAAGACTGCGGAAGCTCTTAATGCAGGCCTCTTTCTGGGAAAGCTCTGCATTGCTAAAACTCCCCCCCCCTCACACACACACACACACACTGCTCCTGCAGGTGCAGATTCTATTACACAATCTGAACAAACATGCTTGAACATAATGTTACAAGGCCACCCATTCCTTTCAGATGAGTTTCTGCAGTTGTATAGATTCTGCTTTGCTGGTTTATCAAGTGGCAACTACTGCTTGCAAGGATGTACTTATTGCCAGCTACTTCATTTAATCTCTGTATTCACTGACCCCTAGAGCCAACTTCTTCTTGGTAGAAATCCAGTGCCTTAATAACTACAAGAAAGGCTGAACTCGATGGCTAAACCCCATTTCTTTTTTATTGTATCGTTGCATCACTGTACCAGGAAAATTGATATATGCTGAATTTTTGACTTGCCATATATAGTGTTGCAGTTATTAAAGGAAGAGGTATTCTGTAGTGCCAGAAGTGGATGACAATCAGATATGTAGGTTAGGCACCTCAATAAAGGTGTTAGGCAGCCCAGTGGATTTTTCTGTCATTCTGGCCCTCTGAATATGATATGGTTGAGCTCCCTGGGCAATCGGAGCCGCCACAGTTAAGCAAATGTTAGTTCTGGCAGATATTGTAAAATTAGATCTGCCAAAGATGGCAAGGAAATGCCCCTTCAAAGTTGGGCATGATGTCTTGGAAGTCCAATGGCAACAATCTGGAGGGACTCACCTGGCTGACGGCTGGAGACGAGCAAAGGCTTCGTAGTTGCAGAAGGCACTTTCACAGCTACCTAAAAGTTGGTGCCCAAGACAAGGTTTACAGTCCTGAACAACTGAGTTTCCAGAGAGTTCCATTCAGAATAGGCTCTCTCCGTGTCTGAGTTTACTGCTGCTGCTGTGGGCACTAGGTAGACGTTTGAAGGATTTGTGACAGTTCTGCAAGCATTCCTGTCCCAGATTCTTTGGATCTTTTAAATGTCTAGTACCTCTGGCTGTTTTTTTCATGCATGCTGTTATGT